AGGCTTACAGTACAGACCCAATTAATTAATTAAATCTATGCCATCGAACAGTACCTGATTGCATTTCAATATCCAATTGAATGTACAGGAAAGGTGGATTGGAAGCGTCAGTCTTGTTGAACCTTTGGAAAGAAGTAAGGGTTGGAAGCCACAGTCTCATTGTGATAGACTAGAAACTTTGAAGAAAGAAAAGGGTAGGGAACGGAATTGATGAAAATGGCGATGTGAGTCATGATCTTATTAAAGTCGGACACCTGGCCGCAAGCAGATAATGTGATGCATGCACTGGGGTGAGACTTGTCTACATCAGTGTATGTCTCGGCAGAAACTAAAGAGGCGTCTTGCGATCTTTATGTGCGTGAAGTCGAGTTTTCAAGCCGAATCAGAAGCTTTTATTTCCCTAGGAATTAACAGCACAATTCTAATGAATTGTAATACCAGATGAATGTGGCAGACATTCTCCAATAGTTAATGGGACTTCCTTGTCTTCCTGACCATTAACCACATACAGTACATGTACATCACTGGATCCAGATTGCTAATAAATACAGCTGCAATGCAGAACTGACACCACACCATTATCTTATCGTTTTTTACAGAGCTTTGGTAATTACATGTATATGTAGCACATAGTTCGGGGGACATGAAAAGATAGATTGTTTCAGATAAGAAAATGAAACAAAAGCCACATGTAACCAGGCAGAAAAGTTCAAAGTCCTTTTGCACCTTTCAAAGAATTAGTTGTGATGTTTCTTTCTGGAGTTTGTAGTCGGGCAAAACATTGTAAATAAGGATGAGGTTGTACATGTACCTTTACTGGGACATTGTTGGTAGTTCAATACGCTAGTTTCTGTAAAGGACCTGTCTATGTCATTATGTGGTCTATTCATGACAGCCAATGAAGAACTTCACAGTGGTAGTTTTCTGAGCCAGTCCCTCACAAGTCACATACTAATGGTTCTTGGGGGAAGACATTAGCCTCTTTTCCTGTCCCTGCAGCTGCTGCAGTACTGGGTCAGAATCTGGCCTTGTAAAATGGCAAGGGCCCTTTTCCCACACTGTGTACACTCTGCTTAAAGGGGCTTGTATGGAGACTGTAATTTTATAGAGTTTCCCTGAGGTTTTGGTAAGTATAAAGTTGACTTGTATTGTGACACAATTTAGTGTAATGAAGTTTTAAAGAAATGCACTCTAAAATTGTTGCTTGATTTTAATATGCAAGTGGACCACAAATTTCAAAATTTTTGAATCTTGTCTTAAATTGCTTTTGAACACAAAAAAGATAATGTAAACTTTTTTGAACAACAAAGACATCTTAGTATAGTATTTGAGCACATATCAAAAAATATTTGCACATGTAAAAAGTATTTTTCCGGTTTGGTAATATACATGATAAACATCGATAAATATTTCTTCCTATATCTTCTTGATATCTTATTGATACAACCAACCATCACACTCTTAAGGATTTTGCCCACTAAAGCTGCTTTTTGGTGTAGAAGTGTTGGCCAAAGGTCAAATTTTCATTGACTCAAGTCCTCTTACATGTACATACCGTGTGCATTTTTGAGAGTTTTTCCATCATCCATCCTTGCCGTCTTGTCCAAACTTAAGTGAATTATTTTAAATTAACTGAAAAAGCATGATACTTGAAGTTAAATTCACTATTCTTGAAAAAAGGCAAAATCCTATAATCCACCTGTATTGAGTGCTTTGTAATGTATTTCATTCAACAAACCCAACAATGGCAACATTCCCAAATCCTCCAGTTTCAGTATGATTTTACATATACCTCAGGCGGTAAGGGTTGAAAATCGTTTTTCACAATTTTTTCACAGAATTTGTTCCAACCAAACTTGATAAGCACTCACTTGTGCATTAAAATCTTTTTCATTTCATGAAATCATTTTTATATCTTGAGAGTTTGATATCTCTTCATGGCACAAAATTGAAAGTTTCATCCAAACTTTCTTAAAGGTCAACAATTCAAAAAGTGAGTTTCGCTAAGTCTTCTGTCTCAAATAACAAATCATTTCATGGACACATACCCATCCAAATGAAATAAGTAGAGGCCATATGTCACTTTCAGTTTGACTTCATCCCTGAGACAGATCAATAGTTGCTTAATACTAATGTGTACATATTGGCCACGGAAGATGACATTCACTATAATCGACGCTTAAAGTACAAAGTGGTTTTCTGTCTACTCAGGGATCAATAAGCCACCGGAAACCAGTGAAATGTTGCACCCGGTATCTCGTGCAAGTGTTTAGACTGGTCACTTGAAAATCGGTCTGAAATTTATTTAAACATGCATTGCATTAATTTATCAGTCTTTTTGATCCACAGCTATAAATAACAAATATGTGGGCAGCAGGGCGCCATTGTAACAACACTGATTGCATCAAGAGAACATCAACGGGTGGGAAGGAACAGAGATTGTATGGTTGAATGATACCGTATGTCAAGTGGTGTCATTCTTCTGTGACATAAATACCCTATTTTTTTTTAGAGAAGGATGAAAATGATTCTGTTATCTTGGACTTCTGACTGGTTGGATTAGTTATACATGTATGTACATGTGTGAAAACTCGCAATTTTTTGATGTTGTTTCTGTTTTTTGGGTTTTTTGTTATGGATAGCCATACTGTAGAAGACACAGATTTCAACATCATGCCTGAGAACCAGACTTTCATGTGAGATTGTGGATCGAGTTAGGATTGGGAGTGTCATCATATTGAGCGTGTGTAAAGAAACTTAATGCTTATAGTCTATTTACACATTAAAAAAACCAATTTCAGTTGTGACCACTTGTACACCATGATAATGAAATGTTCTGTTGCATTATAACATCAAACAGTGTGTAACATTTTGAATTAACATTCTAGGATATTACATTTAACAGACTTTTTTGTTCTACATTTCCAACAAAATTCCCCATATAAAGAAAACTGGATATAAAACATTTGGTTCGATGTTTAAATCTGCTTGAATCCTTGGGTGAAAGCTCTGATGGTTACTAAGTTTTCAGTGAATACAATTCACACCATCACTGGGTCCTCTTCTGATCCAAATCAATTTTCATCCTGGCACTGTTTCATACATTGAAATAGTGTACCTCTGTAAAGGGGAGCACTGTCACTGTCCATGCGCCGTCTGTCCAAATACCAGTCTTTGTCTGTCCAAATACAAGTCGTTGTACAGCCAAGGAATGGAAACTAACATGTACATGTACCCAATTGCCTTCAGCAGAGACAACCTCAGTGTAAACATGGTGAAAGCTACTCCACATCAACTCTGAGTGAGATTAGGGGCGGTTAACACATTCCCAGATAAAAGGGGGGGTGAGAGCTAGATGTGAGGTCTGCTTGTCAGTATTCTTGATCTCTCAGGCTTAGACATGTTCAGATGTCTAGATCAATTGTTAGATAGCCTCTGGTGTAGATGTAGTCACGAATGGGAATTGGTAAGGAAGAAAAGGTAATATGCTTACATATGTACATGTAGGTCATTCTAAATTTTTTTGGGGGGTACAGTTTAATATCCAATGGAGCTTCTTTATTAGTGCAGCGTGTGTGTTAAGAAAATTTCTAAAATAGGTGAGAAGTCATGAATTTGTAGTGTCTGTAAAATAGACAGTAATTACTCCTTTTCTCCTCAGTCCAAGCTCTGTTATCAGACCCTACCTGGTCCCTCCATGTTAATAAGCTAGCCCCTCCCAGTTTTTCGCCCCCCACTATTCTGAGGTGTTAATGCCCCTTTTCTTTCTACCCTTTTGTTAGGGGGGCTCAGTCTTTGTGTCAAATATGCTTGTTGTAAGGATTAGGGTATTGTTGAGTGGTAGCCTTGAGGCCTAATGTAATTGAATAGTCTTGGCTTCTGAAGTAAGTTGATAGCTGACAAGCATAGGTGACAAAAGATGGGGTTACAACTACAGTTGTGAACAAGTGTGTTGCCCACAACACTGAACAAGTTTGTGGTCTTAGACTTGACACCATCAAGTGAGCATTGCTCTTTTCCTTTGAACACCATTTTCACTATCTGTCCTTGTTCTGCTCTAAGAGGTCTTTCAGATCCTTACTATTGTGATAGTCCTGTTTTCAGGATACCAAATGCCTTCATATCCTTGACATCTGATACAGTTTTAGAATGGAGCTACCTGCCATACAAGTTTGGTATAAACTAGGCATTCTACTCCTAATCTGTAGATTACTGTGCTTTCATTGCGATATAAAGACTCGCCAAACCTGTACACTGTATGTACATAAGTGAGACACTAACACACAATCTTGTACTAGAAGATGTCCTCTCACCAAGTTTAAAACCAAAGGTAGAGCAGCAAAAGATATGTTTTTCAAGATTTGAATCTTCAACCTCTTAAATACTGTTCTGTCTCTGGTGACTGAGCTCTCCAATTCTATGTTAACAGGCTTCCAGTTTGTTCAAGTCCTCGAGGTTTATTTGATATAGTAGAATTTTGCTTATTTTAATGTAAATTGCAAACATGATGCCATAGGTGTCCACTTGCGGTTGAGATTGCTAGGATTTCTATGTTGAATTGTATCTATCCTGCCTTGAATTCATGGGCCTCAGACACACAGGAATCACCTGCTCCGTCAAACTTTACCAATGTGATGATTTCACCTGTTTCCTATCTGCAGGCCTATAATTACAGTAGGTTTGTAACAGTGTAAGCTTGTAGTCAGGTGCAAGTGATTCAGTGACTCATTCCATTCAGGTCAGTACAGCATGTGCAGGGAACATGACTAAAATGGCTAGTATTTCTCAATACTGTTATATTTATTGTAGTTCTTGTTCCCCATGGATCTCTGAATTTGCAGGTTGTTACTGATACCCACAGGAAATCATATGGAAGCCTGCAGAGAAGCATTTATCACTTGCAGACGGATTACCATGACTAAAATGTGTGAATCTCTGACTTTTGCATTTTCTTACTCTGAGTTGCCGTTCACAGTGGTTATCCTTTTTTTTCCCTGAAGGTGTACCGTACCCGCCCACACGGAGGCTGCCTATGAAAGAAGTCTTTGATGCCCAGGGTTTTCCTCGACCAGACGTTTTAAAGCAACATTTTGTCTTAGAGGGACGCTTACAAGAAGATGTAGCACTTAGAATAATCAACAAGGGGGCAGAACTATTAAGAAGAGAATCAACAATGCTAGAAATAGAGGCACCAGTTACAGGTTGGTTCTTGATATCCACTGCATGTATAAATGTCTTTTGTAATTTCATAAATGTCTAGGTCTTAGGTTTACTCCAACTGGCTTATTAAGAAGAAGTTTGGACCTGCTGAAAGCTAATGATGGCTTGTTTGATTTTCAGTATGTGGAGATATTCATGGCCAATTCTACGACTTAATGAAGTTGTTTGAAGTTGGTGGAAATCCCGCATCAACACGCTACCTGTTCCTAGGCGACTATGTCGATAGAGGATACTTTAGTATAGAGGTGAGTCTCTCAGTTCTTTAACATAAAAACAACATAAGTCAACCTTTGTGGGAACTAAAGACAAAAGATCAAAATTCAGAAAGTGGGTAAACATGGAAACTAAATCTGACATAAGGACAACAGGCACTCAGTAATAGCCACTGACAAACAGATGAATGAATGTGACAACAAATGAGCCAGACAGACCAACAAACAGACAATGTGACTGTCAAGCAGACAGACGAATGAAGCACACTGCGATTCAAAGTAACTCCTCGATAGGTGTCTGGAAGTCTAACTGCAGATGATGAAAAGAGCATACATGTACATATGCTGAGGACTTCAATGATTGGTTTCTTAAAAGTAGGCATACCCACATGGGCGATTCATTTCTTGCTGTCAGTTCGTCCACCCAAGTGCCAGACAGTTAATGAATTTTTCTGGCAAGTGTATCCGAAGGGTCATTGCCCTCTGTCTGTTCCTTGTACTGGCACACTGCTCCATACAGTTGTGGAGAATTTCTCCAGGGCTTGCCATTTCAAATTAATTGTAGGTGATCCCTGAGTCTTCCCTGGGTCATGCATAGATTCCAGGGTACCTACCTGCACAGTTCTACAAGGCCATTTCCCTAAGCCAGCTCTCAGATTCCAGGTTTGGCTTCAAGCTTGGGATTTCATAAGTTAGGGGCTAACTTTAGATAAGTTTTCTGTATGTTAGTCAGACATTGTTAAGTTTAGGTCACTTTCTGCTGTTGAACCAAGTTCTGTAATGAGAGAGTACAGTTTCCAGCATTGTATTTCATTTTGAACATGAAATTTGAGGTTGGAAGCAAACTAAGACGAAGCTGATTGTTGAGAAACACCTCCGGATTTCATTCTGCCACCTCTCAGTAGTCAAAGGTCAGTGGAGGTCAAGACCTTGCCTGGAAATGGGTGGAAGAAATCATAATCTGTTGAAATGTTGGTTTTTTGTAGTCTTTCAAAAAGGTTTTTCACTGGAAAGCAAAATACAGAGAAATGCAACAGCATATTGGCCAAATACTACATTTTGTCATTACTACTCTGACGTTTTTGTTATGCTATCACAGAGTTCAAGTAGACCATATTTTTGCAATTTTCTTAAAACCTTGTGGCCAAGAAGAGAATACAAAAGTCTTTCTGGAATTTTTCATCCATGGAATGACTTGGAGGTGTTCTCATTCAGGGATGACAGATGTAACAACCTTGGCAATCTGCGTCCGATCTTTTGGAATGGGTGGTTTCATTGGATGTGAGATGCTGTTGTTGGGGGAGGGGGGGATTTCTGCCAAACCAATACCTCCTGTGTGAAATCTTAAACCCATGTCATTCAGCCCACTTCTCTTACCTGAGTGCACTTAGAGTGATTGCTATCACAACGCATGCAGGTGTGACTTTTAGTTGTTACTATTCACTATTTAAGAACTTTGGACTTAGAAAAAAGTGTCATATCTCAGTGGATTTTGGGTTGTATTGTTCCTGTGTGGTGATTTCATTTTAACACTGCCCTGGTACTGCATCTGTGAGAAATTATAATGAAGAAGACCTGATGCTGTTGAGAGATATCTGAGGTAGCAATCGGAGGTGACTATCAAATTGTAGGGTACCTGACCCAGAGGTGTTGATGTGTAAAGGGACTATCTTGTGGAACCACATGAACTTGAGGATTAGTGTCTTGTTGAAACAGGAACTGTCTTGTTGGTTGTCACAAAGAGGTTATCTCATTGTAGTTGAGAGGAGTCCAGAGAGGAGAACCTTATTGGTGGTTGCCAATTCCTCCAGACCAAAGGGACTGATTGTTTTATTGTTGATGTCCGGGAACTCTGGAGTGGAGACAAATCCTGTGTTTGATACATTGTATCTCTTTAGCTTTCCAGTAGGAATCAGTCTGTTTTGGTCTGCCAGTATAGTAAGATCAAAATCACTTATTCCATGAATATGAATCATTGGTGTATATGTACAGCTAGTTGTGTCCATGTCCATGAACATGTACATGTCCATGTACATATAATTTATGCATGTGTTGGTGAACTTTCATCAACCTGTATATATGATGCAAGTAAAAACAAAAAAGCAGACAGTGAAATGGAAATATGTTGGAACGGTTCCACAAAAACATGTGGTTGGTGCTGTGATAATGCTTTGCTGTATTTAATACATTTTATGCCAAGAGTGACTGATGCTAAATTTTTGGGTTTGAGAAAGCCGCATATTCTTAGGAACTTCTGCCGTCTCACTCTCAGGGAAGTCAAAAGTGAGATCAATTATTTTTTGTAAATGAGACACCACCTAATTGTTCTGTCTGGTAGACTAACAAGCAGATTACCGTTCTCTTTTTTTCATGAATATTTCTTCCATTTGTTGGTCAGTGAGACTACCCAGAGCTTTACTCCCTCGGCTGTTAAGAGCTTTCAATATATTGAACCAGTTCAAACAAGTTGGTCATGCTCTTTGTATCCAAGATTAAAGTCAAAATATCGTCACCTTTTAATCTTGAGGGAGAAGAGCCCATTGCCTGCCTTCCTGCAGATATTATCCCCCTAGGGACAAGTCCCATTTTCAAAAGGCTTCCACTTTTTGTCTGAGCATAATAGACAGGCCTGATAATAGATCACTCTCGCTAAAGAGTCTTCAGTCTTAGCAGCTCATGTGCAGTATAACTTGTAATTGCATTGCACTCCACTCTCTGTCTTGGTTTTCCATCGTTTTAAAGAAAGAAGGATACAATTTTTAAGTTTATAATTTCTGTCACTGTGCCTCAAAAGAGGTTGGTTGTCGAGACGACTGGCTGCCTGTGTCATTGCTGTGGACCAGTGGTGAGTCCGAGTTCAGCCTGGGTTTAATGAGGTTATGATGAATGCCTGAGTGATGGACGCGACGCTCATAATGTAGTCTGCTGACAAGGCTTGGAGCAAAATGGAGTATATGCAGTAAGACTACTTGCCTTGTAGAACGTACCCATGCAGTGGTAATGCTGCATCAGTAATCGTATTGCATAATGAATGCTCTAGGAGGTGCATTATTAAGGTTGCTCCATGAATAGCACAAGTGGGGGAATTAATTTACAAAATTGAACTGTCTACTGCTTTTCATTTTTTTTTTCAAGTATGATTTCCAATAAGTAAGCCCTGACTTGTTACATTGGCACAAGGTGACCCCAAAACATTGTTCTTAAATATAAATTATCAGTATTCCTGGTGAAAATTTTTTAGATATCTTCAGTTTTAGATTCACCCAGTGATTATTAAGCTTTCTGTTCCCCAATTCATATTAAATAAGAAATCCATTTAAAACAAAACCGAAAAGTGATATATAGTTAGAAATAATTACAATGGAAGTGGTAAGCTCATGTAAAAACTGAAACTAACTTGTTTTATTTTTGTTGACTTTCTGAGAAGGTCTGAGAAAGTTTTGTTTCTTTTTTTTTCTTTGAAATATTACCTTGAAGTGCTGAGTGAGCATTGCGGAGGTCAATAAATACCTGCATTTGTTCCTCTCCTTCCTAGTTTATGCAGCCTTATGAAAAAATGTCCTCATGAATCAGGCTAGGGTTGTCAAGTGAATTATGGCATTGTGATACTATAATGCTGTGGGTGCTGTGTGATTTAGCATTCCATATCGATTAATATTCAGTGATTCAACCCCCCCTTACAAAGGAATTGTCATAAGGAAGATGTGAGAACTCTCAGTGTGTGAATGGGGATAAAGATGAGACATGGGACCAATTGTGCTGAGGCATATTTTTACTGAGAATAGAAAACTTTGTGCCACAGTGCCAGATAATATGATCACCATCAGCTTCAGATGACATGCAGTGTACTGATGACTTGCTCTCACATGAGTTCCGGCATATAATCTAAGCACTTAAGATTGAAGCAATATTTCTTGGTAAGCGCTAAGCAGCACAGACATTGAGACTTTTAGACAGTTGCGCTTGCTGATTGACACACAGTAAATGTTCCAGTCTTGGAAGTTTGACTTGAACTTCCTCACTAAGTTGCTTTAGCTGTGTTCCCATTAGACTTTTTTGACTTAACTTACTGCGACTTTACTGTAGAATTACAAAATTAAATCCAATGAGAATACATGGTAAACTAACGTCCCTGTCAACTTACCGTTATCGCGATGTAAAACTAACAGGCCAAAAAGGGTTGCAGAAGATTTCCGTGCTGTCACGGTAAGTTAGCAGGGATACAAAAAGTCCAATGGGAACAGTTCCCATACAATGTAGATTGATGGTGACCACGCTAAACATACGAACCAGACAACTTCCTACACAGAGAAAATGGTTGTATGGTTCGCAGTCTCCAACTCTATGCGTGAACAGTACAGCAGCATGCCATGCACACATATGAATGTGTTTTTTGGGCAATCGTGGACGGTCCTATTGTCCTCTTTTGTTCATACTTCAACTTTTTTGGAAGGCCTCTAATATGTTTTGTACACGTTTGGCAATGGTGGACATATCGGGAATCGTGGACGGTCATTAATTCATTAGTTTAACATCCACGATTGTTTAGAAACATCAGTGTACAATGAAGCGTGCCCAGATAAAGCTATACACACATTGTGTATGGGGCTTTTCCTGTACAGGTTCATCGTTTTTGTGACAGATTTGGCCGAATTTGATTGATTTTGTCTTAGTTTTTGTCAGATTTTGCCGATTTTGTCACGATTTGTACAGTGCAGGCAATATAATCAGCTAGTCTTATTAGGTCTAATAACCCAGCGAATAAACATTCCATTACAGTAAAAAAGTCCACGTGGGAATGCGCGGTAGATTGACACAAAGGAATGTCGCGATAAGTTTCCGCACACCCGCGGAAGAAAAAGTCCACTGGGAACATGGCTTTAGTCTGTTCTCCATAAAGAAAACATTTGATCTGTTACAAAGACGATGTATGCACCGTGCTCATGCTCAATGATTTGTATTTACACAAGGTCAGATTTGTGTGAATTTAGTAGACATGTGATCATGAGAACTGAAAACAGTGCATCCTGTTT